ATCTGTATCAATCTGTTTTAGTATGTTTATGTTTGAGTCTCACTAAGCTCAAATGCTAAATTCATTATGGAGGACATTATGTTGACACATATGACATATGTTTGTCAGCCTTAATAGAGCACATCTATTGCCCCGGTGTTCAGAGAATACCCCAGAGCTCCTTCCATTTGTAGCAAAGAGCTACAGAAATAAATAGGATCTTAGACCATGGAAGCCGATGGAGGACATCATGATGGATTGATCTGCTCCATCTATCCTCAGAGTCAATCAATCATCATAGCTTTGGTGCTGTTTTCAATTGGAATTTTCCCCACTGCTGCTTTGCCTGCAGCCAGAGACCTACCTCTGGGGTTGGATTACCAGAGGGCATCGGAGATCTGATTACACCCCTGCTTTCAGTTGTCACCATCACTATTTGTCATTGAACAAAAGATAAGGCAGCTCAGTAAATAATATTAAAAAAAAGTCCAGCTTCAAGTAATGGAGTCAAAGTTTGAGTTGCGTCTAAGAGTACATTGGATTTTCTTCAGCAGAAGCAGGACGGTTTCATGTTATGATAGACCAGCATACATCTGACACAGCATAACAACATAGCAAACAACTGTGACAGATGTTGCTTTAGAGTTACATAGACTGCAAGAGTCTTGCTTCAGGCTGTCACTGGCCTCTCACAGACACTACGAGGTGAACTGCCAGCAGGCAAACCATAGCAGATGAGTTTTCAAGGAGTGGACGTGTGGTATATTTGAGCTGAATATTAGCCACAGTCATGGCACAACAATCTTGTCAGGCTTTGGTATGGGATATTGTAATAAAGTATTTGTAGCCCTGGAAAATGGCTTTGAGTGGTTTTGATGACAGAAATCATCTCTGGGAAAAATGTTTTTGATTTGTACTTTGGGTTTTAGTTTGGCTCATCTCTCATCCGCTAACATGGAGAGGGCAGGATTTATGACCTTTACAACAATCATCCACCAGCGGGCGATCCACTTGTGGTGGCTTCACTTCTGGGATCTTTCACATTGTCTGTGTTTTATAAAGTCAGTGGTCACATTAGACAGACACACCTTAGCCAGAGTACACAGTGTGATCATAAAGGCATCAAATTAGTAATTAAGTCGATCAATTCATTTGTCAACAACTGTGCTTCAAAATGTTGCCCTTGAAGCCCATAGTTGAAAAGGAAATTATAGAGATAGTGAATAAATGTGGTAACAAAACATCTAGTGATAGTGATGGTATCACTATGACAACTGTTAAATGGGTAATTGAGGGGATATGCAAACCATTAACCCATATTTTTAACATGTCATTTCGACTTGGGCAGTTCCCTAA